CCCCCCCACCCCTCATTGGCGTACGCACACACAGAACGAGGGCTCACGCAACCGCCTTCATCGTCAAGTCCGAGAAGGGGTACCTCCTTTCCGCCGCCCACACGTTCCTCAAGTTCAAATTCGAAGAGAACGATGGTGGTGGAGAAGATGGTGATGAAGGGAGGAACGCCCCTCGTCGAGGAAGGTGGTGCTACCACGATGGGGTCACCCACGAGAACTGCATTGTTCTGGTGAGTTTTCTGCCAGGCTTGCCGGGCATGACAGGAAGTTGTTGTTGGTGCTGGTGTTGTTCTCTGTTGATGTTGTTGTGATGATGGTGGTGGTGGATGTTATTCTTGTTGCTGTTGGGTGTTGCTGTTGCTGCTGCGTTGTTCGTTGATGCGTTAATCAAGACGGGGTTGACCTTTTCTTTTTGTTCGCAAGTGTATGCGCTCCTTCCTTGGTATGCTTCCATCATACCGTCGTCGACTCCAAAGTATACTGCTGTAGGTACCACAAGCGGGATGCAAGGAAAAACAGCACGCATCTCAAACCGGTATGCATACCGTGTCAGGAGTAAGATCGTGCCGTGGAACGCTCCGTATCACCCGCGCATGTTGCCCGAATCGGCGGGGTCATGTTCATAAAAGGACCACGTTGTTGAAAGCATTCCCGTTTCGGCGGAGTGACGGAAAAGGGAATCGCCGCTCCCGAAAGCAGACATCTAGATACGACTTCTCGAACACCAAAATCATCTTCCAGTCTACAACAGTAACCCATGTACAATAAAAGTTACAATATTTTTTTCGTGTGTTTTTGTCCCCAATTCGTATCGTGACACTATGTATGTCAGTGAATGGGCGTGGCACTGAAAATGAAATCGACTCCGCTAGTGTCTGTCGGTTAATTCATACGAATGATTGGAAATTTAGAAATTTGCACCACTAGTATGCAACGAGGTTCGGACGCGCGCACGGGTGTGCAATCCATCGGTTTTGCCATCGGTTTTGCTAGCTCGATTACTCAACAACGAAGGAGTTGCCAACGCCGAAACGAGTGGTTTTGGAATGATCTGTCTCGTCGGGAGACGCCTTTTCACGTGGCGTCCAGTTTTCGCAACACCCCTCTTGATTGCCGAGCAATCGATCTTCGAGAATCCATCGCACACTTGTGCGTACGCCCTCACCCTTGCTGTTTGATTCTTCAGAATGGGTCGATTGCGATGTACCCGGTTGACCAATGAATAGGCGGCAGCAGTTACGACCGAGGAACAAGCGAGAACGCTTTGTAGTCCGCGGGATCCCCCCGACAGGCGTAGTTTTTTTTTTTTCACAACAATTTGTCTGTTTTTTCTTTCCGTTCGGAATGGCTATGTAAGGTGGACCCACCTTTACTCACCCCTTTGATTGTGATTGTTGTTGCGCTTGGTCAGGTCGGGACGTTCCAGTCGCCGAGCACGACGCGGTGGGAGGTGAGGGTCGGGCGATCATGGGCGCATCTGTCTGGCGTTGAGTCGGGCGAGATGAATATTGGTCGCTGCACCTTGAATCGGCAAATCAGAACACGTTGTGCAACCCATGCGAGGAGGCAAAGCCTGCCGACAACATGGAATGGGCTCCCTGCTGGCGTTGAGTCGTGATTCACATTGCGAAACGATCATAGTCGCTGAGCCTTCCATCGGCCGATCAGAGCACGATATGCATCCTATGCCGGGGCAAAGCCAGCCGCCGATGATATGGAGTGAGATCCCTGCTGGGGAATGTCTGTGTCACAGCTCGTCCGGGTATTGCGGTGCAGCTCGTCCTGGCGGTCACGCGGAAGAACGTCTGTGCATGCCTGAAACAATGTCACTTCCCAAGACGAGCCACAACTGTACCTGTGACCGGCCTGCCTGCTAGCCGTTACTTTTTTCATTCCCCAAGGGGGGCCCAGGTAGCACGGCCGTCTGGTGAGCTCTTCCTAAAGCATGGTATCCATTGTTTGTTTGTTTCGTCCGAGACCCTTCCTGTCTAGTGCGCCGTTTCGCTTGAAACCGCCGGAAGATAGCACCAAGCTTCTGTTGATTTCCGTGCCTCGTGTTTTTGTGGTTTGCAGTTCGTTGCGGAGGCCTTGCAGCACTCCGAGCTGGTTCGGTCGAAGCTCTACTACGACATCGGCTGGAACAAGGACCACCCTGTACTGCTCAGGATCAAGCGCCGGTTCAGCCCGATCCCTACCAAGGTGCGTGAACTACTTTGTTGTGTCACGATGTGGTTCGACGTTGCGGTACGCTTGTCTCGTTCTCAGGGCGATTACCTAGATAGGTACACCGACAGAAGTGCTGCCGAGAAAAATGGTTCGATGTTCAGCACATGCCTCGTTCTCTGGACAACGATTTAGATACATGGACATCGAGTACTGCAGAGGAAAAAACATCCAACAGCTGTGAATTTGTCGTGTTCTTTCCGTACGAGCTGGGATACTTTTTTTACTAACTTGTGGAAGATGTTTGGTGAGAGGTCTCAAAGAGAAGAGACGTACGTCGCATGTCATCAGGTTCTCTATCGCTTTACTGCACCGCGGTCGGTGTTAGCAGCCCCCACGACACGTGCTACACCAAAAGCCTCTTATGTGGAAGATGCTGCATAGCCGCGCCGTTGTGTTTATGCAGGACACAACCCCCTACGTAAGAACGGGCTGCTTCATCTGTTCGGAAAGCGTGTCTATTCTTCATGATTGCCTTAAAACCAGCCCCGCCGGAATTTCTAGTGGGGGACCCAGCTACCCAAAGGTGTTTCCAGGATATTTCTTGTCTGGGTGCCCTATCCTGCTGCATGGGATTCGCTCGGGTCCATAGAAGCTCAATCAACGCTCAAGCAGCAGAGTTTGAGGGAGGAGTGATCGTCACCTATGGAAATAGCGGAATTTTTTCCTTCCGGTTCGGCGCTGACGGGTCGCGGCAGCACAGGTGTCACGAGAAAGAAGTCAACCACATATTCTCAAATGCTTTTTTACACGGTATGCGGTGAATTAGTTTTTTTGTTTCTCCTGTTTTGGTTGTCGCTGTCATGATTTATTTTCTCAGGTGGTGGATCATCTCGTGTTTAAGGATGTGACCAGAGACTGGAGGGCGCGAGCGCCGGGCGGGGATGTCGTGAATAGCACACAGGACCAGCGATTGCGGGACCATTCGTGGGGCTTGACTGCACTCAAGCTCGGAGATTCGAGGCAAGTGGCTTGTTGTTGTTGTTGTTGTTGTTGTTGTTGTTGTTGTTGTTGTTGTTGTTGTTGTTGTTGTTGTTGTTGTTGTTGTTGTTGTTGTTGTTGTTGTTGTTGCTGTTGTTGACGGTGCCAACCCCCAAAGGAGCGGCTCAGAGGGGAGAAACTCGTGGAGAGGGATATGAACATATTTACTTCCAAAACGAGCTTTCAGTGGACGCATGGGTTGGTCCCGGCAACCCCAACCCCCCCCCCTTTTCGAGGAATAATTGACGTTGGAAAACGAGTTCAAGGGGGGGGCTGATGACGTCACCTCGTTCTCGGTGGTGGTGGTGTTGGTGTGGAGCGCCTGGCCATCTACCCGGAAAAAAAAAAAGCGAATCGGAGGGCAAGCATACGCATGTTTGATTTGTCACTCGTTTCGTTGCAAATGTTTTCTTGGAGGATGGGGTGCACGTCGGTTCGCGATGGTCCCAAGACATTGGGCGCTTGAAAATTCATGTCTCGATCTATATACCCACAGAGGCAAAGAGGCAAAAGACATGGCATTGTAAAAACATTGAAAACAATAAACGCAAGCAGCCATTGACGACTCGCTGACTAGTTTTCGTGCTAGTCGGGTGACATGTCTGTAAACGCTGCCGGTTGCTGCAGGAAGGTACACAACAGGCCGAAGGGCGACGTGGAGTACCTGACCATCTACCCGGAGGCCCTCCTGGAGGTGCTCAAGGAGGAAGACAACGACGTGTGCATGACCATGACCGTGTTCCCGCAGGAACTGCTCACCCTCGTGGCCTTCCCGGAGCACACCGCGCCCTACTTCTCCTCCATCTCCGTCACGCATGGCCCGGTGAGACCACCGTAGGTTGCGTAAGATACCATACACCCTGGACCGATATTCAAAGTATGGACCGTAGTGTTGGGGTCAAGACGTACAGACGTACAGATCGGACCCGCACGTACAGTAAGAACCTCTAGTTCTGCCCGAGGCTGGGTTTCTTGATTCCTCCTGTAGGGGTTATGAATGGCCGCGTACAGTGTAGGGGTTCTTGACCGGGCTCACAAGTGGTGCTCAAGTCCTTACTTTTGAGAAACTGTTGAGCATGGAGTTCTCAAGTGCGGGCGCTTATCCGTAGGCCCTCAGCTGATCCTCCAGTCGCGGTTTCCCCCATGTTGTACTTGTAAGGAGACCGTGCTACCAAACCCGGGTAGAGAGAGGTAGAGGTGTGTGTTGTCGTTGTCGAGAGGCCCCCGTGATGGGACAACAGGGGTTATCATATACCATTCCAGGCCCCAGCAGCTCCCGAGTCTACGAAACTCAAGCGGTCGTGGGGTACAAGTGAAATAGCACACCGGAGCTTGTGGGTAGGTTACTTGTTTTTTGTTACTGGTACTTGAGGACTCTAAGGGAAGAAACTTCAAACTTTTGGAAATTTTGTGTCGGATAGCTTGGATTCCCGGGGTAGGGTAGGGTTGCGTTGTGAAAAGGTTGCAGAACTCCGATTTGGAGGCGTCGTGACGCGCCCACCGCGCATGTCCGTGCCCCGTTGTGTCTGTTCATTTGCGACTGGCCCGTGTAAAGTAGGTTGGTCTCTCGCGTGTTTTCTCTAGTCTGTTGCATATACGTCTCGTACTCTTGCTGCTGGCCCCGTGTTAGTTTTTTTTTTTCTCGCTGACTTGGACCAAACGCCTGCCCTTCCCCCATCCGTTGTGGCGTCTCTCTGTCTTTGGCACGTGTTTTGTCCAGGTTGCGCGAAACATGGTCGGTCAAGACGTGATCGAGGTGGGCATGCAGTGGCTGTCAGAGCACTTTGTATTCCCCACAGCCCTACGTGCTGCTTGGCAAGATATGTACTCTAAGGGGTTCAAACTGTTTTAAGTACTCAGAGAAAGCCTCACCGCTTATGCCCTACGTGCTGCTTGGCAAGATATGTACTCTAAGGGGTTCAAACTGTTTTAAGTACTCAGAGAAAGCCTCACCGCTTATGCCCTACGTGCTGCTTGGCAAGATATGTACTCTAAGGGATTCAAGCTGCTGTAAGTACTCAGAGAAAGTCTCGCCGCTTATGACTACACAGCAGGGGTGGCATACCGCACATCGTTATCGATTCATTGGCTTGATGCAGCATTCAGCAAGCGCCACCACTTGAAACCTGGAAGTCAAGAGATGCAGGTCCAAAAAATGCATTTCCAAGTAACTGCGTAACGATAAGTTGTGAATACTACACTTAAACCGTACGGTGAGATAAGAATACTACACACAACACTTCTGATATACACTCGGTGTCAGGTTAGTGTTACCCACTGAAGACTTGTAGTCTCAGGGTGGACCGTACTGCTGTCATTGGGTATCCCCGACATGCACGAAAGTTGCTCATTGAGCGTGTGAGGGATGGGACTCGTTGTATCAAATTATCAAGCTAGGTCAGCGGGAGTTTAAATAATACGGAAGATGTAGCAGAGTGGATGCTTGCGTAGCACTTCTGTGAGCCCTGGGCGAATGCTGTCCACTTCTCCCTCTTTTTGTTTGTGATCATAAATTGCAGGTCCTGCTTTCCAATCATCCCGGTGCTAGCGGAGGCCCCGTGGTCGACAAACGGGGAGAGGTGAGACGGGGCGTGTCTTGCCCGCGGCACCCCCCCCCCCCCCCCCCCCCCCCCCCCCCCCCCCCCCCCCCCCCCNACCTACAAGATAGGTCCTTGATCTCGCTGGGAACGAGAGTCGAAAGCGATCGACTGATTCGCTGAAACATGATTTGGAAACGGTCACGGTTGCGACGATCTCGCACTGGTGTAGACTGCAAGGCTTGAAATGAGTTTGAAGTCTCTACTTGCACGAGTGCGTGGCAAGATGAACGACAGCCAATTCCGGCAGTTGCAGTTTTCCGAGAAGGAGAAGTGAAAGTGGCTTGCTTTTGGTGATCGTTGCATCCGGGCACTGTATTGCGGTTATTTGTTTCGTTTACCTTGGAATAACGTGAATGTCCTCTTCATCCATCGCTCTATATGCCGTATTATGCAGTATGGTGCATGTAACGGGACATGGCTCATGGTTTCATTTCAAAATGATGCGGACATAATCATTTTTCAGGCCTGGCTCTGACCCTACCCGCTTAGCACTATCTACCTACGCGCCGAGGGCGAAACCGATGTTGTGCTTAGCGGGTAGGCGCAGAGCCAGGCTTTCGTTTCATCACGTCCTCACTCTTTCGTGATGCAACCGTGGATCATGTCCCGTTATATGCACCCTACTGCATTATATGGCAGATAGAGGGACGGGCATTCATGAGGGACCAAACGGTGATCACAGTGCGTTTTGTGGGTGTCATGCAAGCCTCCGTGAACAGTACGCACAAGCCTCAAGCCATGTGAAACCTAGAACGGAGATCCCCACCCCGGCCACCACCCCACTTGTTTCTGCACCCATTCATTGCTCTCGATCGATTGAAAATATTGCGATACTAAAAGGTGGTCGGCATCCTCAGCCAAGGGAATCAGTTCGGCGCGTACGTGATGGGGATCTCGACCGCCAAGACCATCTTGAACGCTTCCACGCCGGACCTGGAAACCATCTTCACGGACTACCCTTTGATGCAGCGGTGCAAAGCGCAACACGCTGCCGACGTTGTCCACGCGGCCGCCCTCCGTGCCGCGGCGAACGCCGCCGCTTCAGATAGGAGCGCTGTTGCTGTTGCCAACGGTGGGGGGGACGTAAAAAGGAGAAGTTGATTAATGTGTTTTGGGTTACTTGTTTTTCGTGAGTTGTTTTCCGCTTTTTCGAGGTGAAGTGAGGCGCCGGTGGTAATGCCTGAGAGCAAGCAATTGGTGTACCACCGGTCCTGTCAGCACTATCACAACGAACGAGAACTTTCGTTGTGCGGGCGAGTTGGTGTGTATTTGAGGTCAGGGGAGAGGCGGGGGGTGGGGATGAGGGGGCTACTTAGGGCTCAAGTTCACGTGAGGAGGTACGCCTGAATCGGGGTTTGTTGGTACCACCTGAGAAGAAACTGTTGTTGTCGTTGTTATTGTTGCTGTTCTCGTCGTCGCAAATGTTTATGTTCTGTTCACAGTGAACCATGACCCGGTTGTGCCTGTTACCAAGCACTTGTTGAATCCGTTTTCCGTGGTAGTGTGCCATTCCGGCCGGTCGCAACCGAAATTTCCAAGAAATTTCCACGGGGTATCCCAAATACTTGGAGGATGACACACAACACAAGAGGAAGTCCTCTGCCACCCACTGGACTGAAAGAACTTGGACCCGAACCGATGGAGGTTGCAATGGATCCACCTCCAGTTGTACAGGGCTTCGCCTTTTTCACCACCTTTGAGTAAATATAGCTGCGACTTCTGCTACCGCTGGCAGGTGTTGCATTTGAAGCACCGCGTATAAGTCCTCTTTTTTTAATGTGCAAACCCAGGTGGAGCGTCGTCGTGACTCTAGGCAAACCGTCGTTCTTGCCTGCAAAGTTTTCAACAGGAGGCGTTCGTATATTTGTTTTTCGGGACGAGGGGATCCTGGAGCCCAGTTATGATACTTGTTTTTTTCCTGACTCAGTTTTTTGGAATAGCATTTGCCTCTCTATAGGCGGTGGTAATGAGGTGGCCGTTTGTTTGTTACCCTTAGCTGGGGTAACGTCGGATTAGATTTGAAGAACAAGGCGTGCAGGCTTGGCGGGGCCAGTGTTTTGCGGCATCATGGATACCACGTGCTTCTAGCAGCTGCTCTCTTCAGGCAGCTCCGAGTAGTATTCTACTCTCCTTCACGAGCAAGTACGGCAGAGGCTATTGTCTCTTGTCTATCGTCTGGCTGACTGGAGATATGACGAGTGACGCTCAAGACAGATATGAATACAGGTCCAAAGTGGTTTGGGTACAGGGAAACTTTTAGGTGTTATTTCACTGGATGGACTGGAAAAGAGACAAGACTTAGCGAGGGAGAGGAAGACTTAGAGGGAGACAGAGAGAAGAAAAGGGCGGGGGGTGTACTCAAAGTCGTGCATGCCGTAGTCGTTAGACCATTGATCTCGCATCCCTACAA